TGATTTCATTTATCAATTCATTAGTAACTTGATAATTTGCTGGTTTGAATGGCCAATTCATCAGAATGCGTGATGTAATAGAGATTTAGCATTGGGGATCTTGTCATTAGACCTGAAGGCTGTCAGTTTCTTGCTGAGAACTTATTCAAAAACCATTGAAGCCAGAAAATAGATCCTTATCCTAGCGCTGATGGTCGTAGATATCAAGAGTTGCTGCAGGTCTAACTGAGCTGCCTAGAGAGGAAGAATGGGAACATCCAAGATGATGTTTTTGATGAATAATAAGTTGTCCGCTCTGCCTGACAAACCAAATTGCCCCTAAACTTGTGACATTTGTTTCTGCAAAGGAACTATCAGCTGAGAGTGTTACCAGATCTTTTCTTTCACAACATGCATGTCCTTAAATTGTTGAACCTATCCAAGACCAGAATCAAGTACTTACCCAAGTCAATTTCAAATCTTGAAAGACTAGAAACACTTATTCTTCGTGATTGTGAACGCCTAGTCAAGCTCCCCTCTGAAGTTGGATCTCTTAAACTTCTTCAAGTACTTGATCTTGGGGGCACGGAGATTATTGAATTACCTGAAGAGATTGCTGAGCTGGACTCTCTAAGCCACTTGGAAGTATCCTTCTATGGATCTAGCACCAACAGTGAGCATGCTAAGCTGCCACCTAAATTGATTTCCAGACTTGAAGCATTGGAAACACTAAGCATAAGTGTGTACCCAGGAGATAAATGGTGGAATAAGAGTGTCGAATCCGTCGTTGAGGAAGTGATCAAGTTGCAATTGTTGACTTCTCTTTCCTTCTATTTCCCAGAGGTCAAGTTTCTTGAGCTGTTCCTCGGAGAAAGTGCATCCTGGAAAGAAGAAAGCTTAACTGAGTTCAAATTTGTTGTTGGCGCTGATGTCAAGTTTAATGCATCACGAGTCCCACAGTATGTAGAGCTGCATTATGTTCTAATATCGGGTCAATGCTTGAGATTTGTCAACAGTGAGAAGATACCTAATGCAATTGTTAATGTGTTGGCTCGATGTACTGCTTTTTATTTAGATCATCATCTTGACGTCCACAGGCTGTGTGAGTTTGGGATTGGCAACATTAAGAAGTTGAAATATTGTATAATAAGTGAATGCCCCGACCTTGAAACTATTGTGGACAGCGAGGAGGGAACCGAGAGTGTATTTCCTTGCCTGGAGCACTTGAGTATTCATTATTCATGGAGTTTGACGAGCATTTGGAAGGGTGTTGTCCCCAATGGGAGCTTTGCAGCTTTACGAACTTTGTCTTTGCATGCATGCCCAAAGTTGACTTACGTTTTCAAAAGCTCAATGCTGCAATTCATTTCAAACTTAGAAGAGTTGCAGGTTGATGACTGTGAAGCAATGGAAAAGATCATTTCTGCAGAAGAGGTCACTGAATCTTGTTGTATTTCACTCAAAAGTTTAACACTTCAGTATCTTCCTGAATTGGTTCATATTTGGGAAGATGCTCAGACTAGGCTCTTGTTTGAATACATTAGTGTCTACGATTGCCCTCAGTTGAAGCAGATTTGCAAAGACTCGGAGTTGAAACAGACTCTGAAGGAAATTAGAGCCGAAAAGGATTGGTGGGATGAATTAGTGTGGGAGGAAAATGGGATTCGCTCACATTTTGAAGCCATTTTCACTCCTATTGGCGAGGGTGATGTACATAGTTCTTAAGACTTCCCAAGTTGTGAGGTTGTTCTGCCAAACATACAATGAATCCAGGCTGGCAGGTTTGTCTAATTACCCATATTGAAGCATGTTTTTTTTTTTTTCCTAATTTTATGTTGATGATCAGTAAGTTTATTTTTTCCAGCATGCTAAGGATCAGCATTTGATATATAGCAATGATAGAAGAGACTGCTGCTGCCGCCATTGAAAGGAACATGACACTGCTGCTGTGATGTAAAAGGCCTCATCTAGAACCAGTCCGTATGGCAGAATCTAGTGTAAGGACAGCAAAGAAGAGACGCTTCAGAGTTTCCTTCCCAATATGCCTGCGGATCCTTCTCAAACGGCCATGAAAATGGGATTGGTGACATGGTTGTTGCTGATATGTACCTCTTTTCTGACATGCAAAAATACGATCAACTAAAAGTTAAAAGAACAGCTGCTTGTGCCTTTTTTTTTTGGATAAATTGTAGTTTTATTATCCTAGAAGCAGCAAATCACAGCTACTGTAAAACAGTTTGTACAATTTGTATCACATCACTTATTTACATTACAAACGTATCTCTGCTTAGGTCCCATTTGATCCAAATAAACATGTTTTAATCCAGCTACTCTTAGCCTGACTATCTCCTTAATCTGTTCACTATTGCTTTCCTCCGACTTGAATTGCCTTTTGTTACGTTCGTTCCAAATCAAATAGATGTAAGCTCCCCAAGCCAGTGTCAATATAACAGAGAGTAGAACCCTTCCTAGGAGTCTAGCAATTGCCCGCTGAAATTCGTTCTCTCAATACTCAACTTCCTTCGGCAGTTGACAGTGCTGTAAGACCTGCCTCCACGCGACCTTATAATAGCTACAAGTAAACAAAATGTGGTTCTTACATTCATCATCCTGTTTACACAATGCACAGCACCTAACAGTTGCAATCCCCATGCATTCAACCTGTCTTTAGAAGGGAACCTATTAAGAATGGCCATCCAGGCGATAACTGCATGCTTAGGTATAAGTGGCATACACAAAACAAGCCTATGCCAACCAACTTTCTCTTGTTTATGTCTTGATTCCTCCCATATAGCTCCAGCAGGATGGTTTAAGCAACCCCCCGCTGACATTAGAATCCTTAAGCAATGTTCCCCATTTGTAGCACTTCTCGCATACTCCAGCTACTGTTTTGAGGGATTGGCACATCCCATATGCTTCTCCTTTTGATTACATAGTTCTGTGTCCATGCTATCCATATTGATCTTGCTTGTGCAAGTAGAGGCCATAAATGCTTGATTATGACCACATTGTTCTGGTTCCATGATGAGATATCTTTCAGCCCCAACTCTCCTTCTGACTTGGGGCTACAAATGGTTTGCCATTTGATTCTAGCTGCTTGTGCTGTGCCCGGCTCTCCTTTTTATTGCGAAGTAAAAGTGACATTTTTTTCTTCGTCTGGTCCTTTTTAGGTGAAGCTGAGAGTGGATGAATCCTGAGATGAGGTTTCCTCCATCACTGAAGAATAATATATAATAAAACTGGAGGCAGCAATAGCAGTGACATGCCTGCAACAAGTGGTCAGCCCTGCTGGCATTAAAGTTAAAAAAAAAAAAGGAACACTGTCTCTAGCACTTAGTTCCAACATTTTACCCAAATTTCAGCTCCAAAGAAACAATCATGGCGAAGGATTCTCTTTCAATTCTCATGATTAACTAATTGATATTCATTTTAGTATTTAATGATTGTCAAATATGAACACAAGTTCTTTGAGACCAAACCATTGGGATTTGGCTGCTCATCTCTCCTGTTGTTTGGTAATAATAGTTGTTGAACGTGTAACTAAGAATTCAGTATTTTGCTATTCACGAATACATATTATATGAAATTCCATTTAAAATTTAAGTTTAGATATGAGCAATGGACTTATATTTGTATTCCTTATTCTTCTGTAATCGATTCTTTAATGTATCTTATGGTTTGTACAAGGCCTGACATTGTTCATGCAGTTGGTGTAGTGAGCAGATTTTTTTCTAATCCAGGGAAGGTTCACTGGGAAGCGGTGAAATGGATTTTTAGATATTTGAGGGGTAGCTTAAAAATGTGCTTGACTTATGGAGTTTCACAACCAGTTCTAGAAGGGTTTACTAATGCTGACATGACAGGCGATCTTGATGGTAGAAAATCTACTTTAGGGTATTTGTTCACTTTTACAGGAGGAGCTGTATCTTGGCAATCTAAGTTGCAGAAGTGTGTTGCTTTGTCAACTACAGAGGCTGAGTATATTGCAGCAACCGAAGCATGTAAAGAAATGCTTTGGATGAAACATTTTCTTCTTGAATTGGGGTTAAATCAGAAAGAGTATGTGATATTTTGTGATAGCCAGAATGCTTTAGATTTGAGTAAGAATACCATGTACCATGCTAGAACAAAGCACATTGATGTTAGATATCATTGGTTACGTTCAGTGATTGAAGAACAGCAGATGTTATTGAAGAAAATCCATACTGATAAGAATGTAGCATATATGTTAACTAAGATACTTCTCAAGGAAAAGCTTGAGCATTGCAGTAACTTGGTCGGAATGAGTTCCTTGGCCAAGGTAAGTTCCAAATTAAACTGCTATGGTGATGAATCTCCTCCTAATGGGGCTGGAAGGGGAGATTGTTAGAAAAATAGGGTCCAGTCCCATGTAAGTGGTTTTGGACCAAGTAAAGGCCATGGGCCTTGATCTTTTATTTTACACAGAGCCCTAGCTACTTAATAAAAAAGAGGTGAGATTGTTTTAGGTGTATGTCGAAAACCAAGCAGAGAAAGAAGAAAAGACAGAAAAAGCAGAGAGAAAAAAAAGAGAAGGGAGAGTTGGTCGAACGGAAGTTGATCCGTGGTCCGATTGAGTTGGAACCTTGTCAAGAAGTTTATGATTCAGAGTTCTACATTCTGAACGGTGAAGATCGGGTTTGAAGCTTTCTAGGAACAAATCTAGGGTGTATTTGTTGAGTCACTTATTTGGTGAGATTTCTCCAATTGTTTCTCTAGTTGTTGATTAGCTCTAGTTTTAGCTAGAGAAGAACTTTGTATAATTATTATTTGATAGTGAAGATTTTTCTAGTGGCCCGTGGTTTTTTCCCTCTACACTGGAGGGTTTTTCACGTAAATCTTGGTGTGCTTTATTTTTCCTGCGGTTCTTTGATTATTGATTGTTGTCTATTGCTTCTGTATTGTTGTGATTATTGCTTCAGGCGTAACATTTTGCACAGTCTCTGCACGATCATATCCGAATCAGTGTGACCATCATATTTGTCTCTGCATGCAAACACCACCTTCCCATGCTCATGATTACGTTTGATCCCAACTTCTTCAAGATTAACCACCGAAGAAACTTTATCAAGAAACAAAACATATTTCTTTTCCTTAAGCTTCTCAGATATCATCGTAGCTCTTTGATCAGGATGGTCATTTTCATCCATTCTCATGCCTAAGCAGTTCCAAATTACTTCTTGTATGTCTCTCGATATTTTACTTTCATCTGTTAGAGTCACACGAAAGGTATAGTCGACCTGACGGGATTCACAGACATTGTTGTACACAGTTTTCATTATTGTTGTTTTCCTTATTCCCGGAGGACCCCTGACGCAAATTCTCTTAAATCTCTCTTCTTTTAGCCAATCTATTAACGTCTCCACATGATTTTTAAATGATGGAAGGTTAACTATCCTGACATCATTATTCCATCTGTGACTGCGATGAACTGTTGGTGGCTTGTCACGCATTATAGTGATTTGGCTCAGTTCATTCTTCAGAGAAGTTGCCTCTGCCGTCTTCTTCACCACACGTCTACCAAGCTTAAGCAAAGCACGGTATGGCCATAGTCCACATAAGCAAGTGGAAGCTTTATTTTCATATTCATACCTCAGTCTTCCAATCTGTTCTTTCATATTTGCTACCCGGCTGAGCCAAGTTGTGCATTCTGGTGTAATTTTCTTTCGTGATTTATTATTTTCCAGCTTCGTCTGAACATGTGCCTCTTTATCACGTAGACATGTATCCTCATCCTCAAGTTTCTTGAAATTACTGCTGATGTGTTTTACATAACTATGTTTGTGTTTCAACCATTTGCATATACCCTTCCCAGCTGCCACAGCAGGTGCAATCCCATGGCCAGTTACTTTCACAGCTGCTGCTTCCATCTTGCTAATTGAATCTTAGAATTAGCAAACTATATTGAAAGTTTGGGTGATAGAGAAATTGACTAAAACAAAAAAGAAATAGAATGAAAAAAAAAAGAAGCAAGCAATACAATAAATAAGGGTGTTTTTGGTATTTTGATTAAACATTAGTTTCACTGAAAGAATTTTAATATCCGTCATTTTAGAGGGGTACTAAAGTGTTTTTCAAACTAACAACAAGAGTAAATGTTTTTTTAATAAAACAGATATTATCTTCCCAAGTGTATAATGAATGATTGAACTTCTTCTATATAGGGACACAACAAACTAAACCAACTTTCGAATAGCTGCTATCTTAAAAGGAAAAAGAAAAAGAAGAATTGTTCATGAACAATTGTAGATATTTCTTTTTGAGTAATTTTTCTTAATTTATTGAAGAGAAAGTGATTCAATTCTCTAGAGCAGGTGATGCCATTTGGTTGGCTTCTAAATCTAGAAAATATAAGTGTGCAGTGTAGGCACTTCAAACTGGCTAAGGACAAACTAATTACAGTAAACATCTTATTTAGTCTGGAATCGAATTTGTCAAATTTAGTAGCAACTAATTTGAAGCTAAGTTACTATTTGACTTAGGGTCACAACTATTATTGGATTTGAATTTACCACTTAAGTTTAAAATAGACCCATTTTTATTTCTCTTATCCAAAATTTTTTATTATTTTGTTTATTTATTTATTTTTTTATATTTCTTATTTAATTATTTTATATAATTTTAGCTAGAGATAAAACATGAAAAAAGTAAAACATTTGAGAGTTTTTTATGTTAGTCTTTTATTTATCTTTCATCATTTCAATAAAATGACAGATACATGTTCATTACATTTTATCTTTTACTCCATTATCATTATATATCCTTTCATATTTTACCTATCCTCATGTTTCAAATAATGAATGTTCAGATAATCATGATCAAAATTCAAAATTTAATTTTTGAAAACATCATTCATATTGGTGAAGTTGATAATTTGAGATTATTAATTTATTAGGATTATTGAAGTAAAAAAAGAAAAATTTTATGAAATGAGTCAAATCTGGCAAGGAGTTTCGCCCATTAAAAGATGAAAATAATGCAATATGCGGTTTTTATGATGGTTCATTGATAAATTTGCTCTTAGTGAATAAATTTTTTTCATTAAGAGTATTCATATTTGAAATAAAAATTTATCAATTTTCTTCTACCTTTCTCACAAAGAGTGAAATTATCCATTTATCACCCATTTAAACTTATTATTATTTTTTAAAAAAATACCAAAAGTCACCCTTTACACTAAGGGGCAAAGTTTGAAAAATGTTGCTCACAAAAAAATAGGTGAAGGTCTTTAATGATCTTATAGGCAAACTTTTTTGTGCTTGGATCTTTTTTAAAAAAATGATGAAGGCTGAAAAATCAAAAATGAAAGAGAAAATATAAAGAAAGAAAGAGAAAAAAATGAAAACAAGAAAAAGAAAGAATTGATAAGGCAAAA